GAAAATGTTTAGGAGGTGTCAATAGCAACTCGGCTGATCCTGAACTAACACTTTCAAACAGTTCTCAAAGACACTAACGAATCGCCCTGGAAGGCTGTAAAATTGATTGTGTCATGGCAAGAAGTTCTAATAGAACCTCACCTTCAGGTGCCAGTCCAAGTGATTTTGAGGATTTGAGGATGACATGGAGTTGGACCAGGAGATTGTGCCCATTGGTCAGTCACCAAGTGAGGAGAAGGATGTGAAGAGCTTGTGATGTCTCATGAGAGAACTCATTCTAACAGACTCTGAAGGAACTGGATGAGATGTTACGGGTAGAGGCTGACAGTGGTGAGGAGGAAATTGGTGCGATGACCATATGCGCTAAAATGTAGTTAAGATGATTTACTACTGGGAGGTTCAGGAACTGGCCTGTGCCAATCTGTGAAGTAAAAACTGAACTAATCTTTGTGTCACAAGTTGAGGAATTATGGTCTCCTTCTTTAAACATATTAATGGTGAGGAGGACAGATGCCCACAGACCACATTGACACTTTCAGTAAAAGGTGCAGAGGAACAAGATGCTGCCTCAGCCTTCCACTTCAAGAAGGAGAGAGGATGTTCATGGTGGAGAATCTGTCAGTCCAGAGGTTCCTGATATTTTCATGAAGGGTGACTCTACCCTTCCAAGAAGCTAAGGTAAAATGCTTCTCCTCCACCCTCCACTTCTTCTCTTTCTCCCTTCCTCCTGCACCTCCCACTCAAATGCATCATCATCATCATCCAGAGCCTTTCATACACACACACCTCAAAGTAAAGTAAATTTCATATTTTTGTTAAAGTGAAATTTTCGTGAGGTTGAAACTAATTACTTCCAAAAAAACCCAGTTTGAAATATTTGTTTCAAGCACTTAACGTTTCATAACGTAATCCACTTTCTGGAACGGATTGAGTTCGTTAACTAGGGCTACTTTATATATATATATATATATATATATATATATATATATATATATATATATATATATATATATATATATACAATAATAAAGAAAATTTTCACTTAACGCGTCAATAGAACTGCAGAGGGTCTTGTTAAGTGAAATCTGCTATGGTAACAAATAGAACATATGATTAATTCTAATAGAAATCAGTTCACCCCCAAATCACTTGAAGACACATAACTATGTTGTAGTAAAAAATAACATCTAATTTTATGATGCAGTACATGCAATAATAATTAATACTTAAGAGAAATAGAGAAATACAGTCGCTGTTGTTCATTCAAATAATGGACTCCAACCTCTCCTCTCACACTGCTAATCGTCGGCTCTTCCTCTGAGAAATTTTAAAACCACTAAATTTTAATAAATAATACCCAAACTAAAGTTAGATAATACACTGATATTGCTGATCTTGTAAGATTAGGAATATTTTGAATATAGCCATGGTATTTTGCACAAAAGATAACATACTTATTTTTTATCAGTACTTTTATCTAAAATTTGTATGTCTAATGCAAAAGAAAGAGATGTTTATATTCAAAAATGATCATCAAATTATAAGAATCTCAAGCAACAAATTATATCTGACCGTAATTTGTATGAATGTGTGAGCTAAAACAAACATCTTCAGTTAATAAAAAAAAAATAATCTTCAGACACCATTATCTGTCAATCAAAGTACCCCACCTTGCCTCCCCCCTCTTTCCAACCGCCAAGTCAGTCCTAACCTCCCCACCCCACCAATCGCCCCTTCAAGAGACAAGAAAAACAATTTTACATTTTGTATTAAATAATACTCAGATTAAAGTTAGGATGAAATATAATTGACATTGCTGGATTCCTCAGAAGACTGAGGGAATATTTTTAATATAAATGTCATATTTCAGTGGCAAAAGATATATACTTACTCAGATTAAAAAATTTTATCTAAAATTTGTATGTCTAATGCAAAATATATGATGTTTATTCAAATGATCATCAAATAAGAATTTGTTAATGTAAATTATATTCGACCGTAAATTTGTATGAATTTTTTATGAGCTAAAACGGGCAGTCAGGCAGGGTGGCGTGGTGGGGCAACCAGCAAAATAGCTGCCTGAGCCACACTCACTTATATGATGAAAAAACTGTGTTATGAAAGTTCATTTCATGCAGGCACCACAGATATGATAAAAACGCGCTATGAAACCGCGTTAGGGCGGGTAATTTTTGCACAAAAGATAACATACTTACTCAGATTAAAAATTTTATCTAAAATTTGTATGTCTAATGCAAAATATATGATGTTTATATTCAAAATGATCATCAAATTATAAGAATTCCAGCAATGTAAATTATATTCTGACCGGGTAATTTGTATGAATTTTATGAGCTAAAACGGGCAGTCAGGCAGGGTGGCGGGTGGGGCAAATCTAAAAATAGCGTCTCGAGCCGGACACTCACCGCGTATATGATGAAAAAATCCGTGTTAAGTGAAAGTTCAGCTCTGGCGAGGCACCGCGTATATGATAAAACGCGCTAAGTGAAACCGCGTTAGGCGGGGTAATACTGTATATGTATGTATGTATGTATATATATATATATATATATATATATATATTTAATGTAGATCCACAATGAAAACGTGGATAAGATATAAATCTTGATAAAATCACACAGGAAAAGGGAAACAACGGAGCACCTTAGCTTTCGTCTTTATTCAAGACATCTTTAGAGGCAACTGGATTACATGGACAGAGAGAGGCTTAAATATACAGGGTGAGCTTATTAAACATGAGGTCAGGTCATAATGATGTCATCCACTAATCCCCACACCAACACCAACACACACGTAGAGGAGCTTAAGAGAAGGGGGCGACGTGACTAGTCAGGTCAGGTAAAAAATAAGGGACCCACTAAATATATATCCTACATCTAGATCAAAAGTTTTCAAAGCATTTTTAACCTTGGGCCACTGACAAATAAATTTATGTAACATATTATCAGTTTTGAACTAACCATCACTAATGTTTATTGATTTTAATTCCTTAATCAAACTAGCTTCAACCAGAATAATGAAGTCTCTGGTGCACTGCACTCTAAGATTAAGAGAAAACGGATGACTCAGGCGTCCTGAAGTGAGAGAAAACGGACTCCTATGATGGGGCACTCAAATAAATAGACATGGCTACATGTTTTGTGGACTACCCACTGTACACTATTGAGAGTATCATTTTCATTACTTTGTAATGAACCTAGTCATGCCTATGTGTGTTTATGATATTCACCATAACATTATATATATATTTAGTGGGTCTAAATGGTCGTAAAATGGGAAACTTGGGGTTGGGTGCCTGGAACCACGGACGTATATGCGATCGGACGTTGTTCGGTTGGACGTTAACCGACGCATGACTGTACTAATAATTTTTATATAAAAAAATGCAAAAACATTAAAGAGCACAACTTTCTTGATATTTACTCCACTGGAAACGAATGTAAACATAGAACAGATTACTGAATTGGCAGACTAGCCCATCAGCTGATGCTCCCAACAAAACCTGTTTTTCGTAAGGATTTCGTTAATCAAAGTTTTGTTCATTAACCGAATTGAAGATCCTTATGGGAGGTAATTTGTTAGCCAAAATTTCATTAATCGAACCGTTCTTTAACTGAGGGACCACTGTATATATAAATATATATATACAGCTCCTCCCCGACTTACGACAGGGTTAGGGACCCAAATCCAGGTCGTAAGTTGAAAATGCGAAAATAATACATAGAAAATCTAAAATGGGTGTCTCTTTTTCTTCTCAGCACCACAAAACTCTCACTTTTAAGCTTGCCAGCCATTTTAAAGGGAATTACAAAAAATAAAAAAATAAAATTGTCAGTACACAGCGCAATCAATAACATCGGGACTTGAAAATACGTACGTAATTTGAAAAAAATTTGGTATGACTGGGGCGGTCGTATGTCCGGGTGGTCGTAAGTCGAGTAGGTTGTAAATCGAGGAGTGGCTGTATATATGCAGGGGTCCCTCGGTTAACGAACACAATTCGTTCCAGAGTCGTTGGTTCACCGAATCCATTATTTCAATGGGATATTGGGTAATTGGTTCCAGCTCACAGAAAAGTACACACAAAGTAAAGCCAAAAATGCATGAAGCCAGAAACATTCCTAAAATTCCCCTAAATTGCCCGAGGAAAGAAGGATGTACCATAATGGGTTATTCTAGTGTGACCGACATCCACAGAGAAACGGTGGGCACTGCGGCAAGACGAGTGTTACGAGCCCATGGCCTTGCCGGCAGTACACAGGATGTCAAATCCACCGAACATTGCCTGTAAATGAGAGAGTGAAGCAACATTGCGGTGAAGAGAAAGGAAGAAAGATTATCAACTAAAGGAGGAGAGTTAATAAGACGAAATGCCTTTGAGTCCACCCTATCTAACATTGTGTACACCAAATATTGTCATACAGCCTTCTCTTTCTCTAGATATGCTTCAATCATACTCCTTAATAGAAATATGTACAGTAACTTGACCTTTTTCTTTTCTGAATCCACGATGTTCTTCCCTTAATAAAATCTCGGTATAAGCCAAAATTCCCTAGATGCTAACTACCATGCACCTCCACTGGGAATACTAAACAAACTTGTTCTACTAAAATATTTGCAGTTACTCTTCTTACACTTTCTTTCTCTTGTTTCACCAATACACCCCAAGTGTCAGTGTGTGTCATATATAAACTAAAGCAAAAATGTTGTCTCCAGAACAAATGATCGAGATACATCAGGTATGACAGAGAAAAATGAAGGGTGAAGTAAAGGGAAGTGGAAAATAAAAATAGTAATAATCCATAATAACATTAGCTATGTTAATTATGGATGAGAGAACACATATTGAACTTCTGCTACAATGGCGAGCCAAGACATCCATTTCATTTTCTAATGTTATGCAAGATACTTTATGTTCATTTATAAATACTGTACTGCATTTTACAGTTATAAATTTTTCAGAAAACACAGTACTTTACCTGTGTCCACCAAGACTCTGGAGCTTCTGATCAATAGTCTTGCCAAAGTTACAAAAGTTAGTATAATTTGTATCCCCAAGACCAAGGACTGTGTAAGAGAGGTGGTTTAGAGTGTCACTGGGTTGACCCTTCTTGTGCAGGCGCCTCCAAAACTTGCGAGCAGTGTCTGGAGGATCACCATCACCTGGAACAACAAAGGTATTCAGAAACTTATTTCATAAAAGGTGTTATTATATACCTAATGTATTAATCCTTGTTTTGTATTGCAAATCATCCTGTACAGTATATACCTGGGATGACAGAATGCAATATAAGCTGTCCAGGTTATAAGTCCTCCACATTTTTTTGAAGCTTTGATGAGAAAATAAAGGTGAGCCATAAGATGTGGCGAAGCATGGAATACTTGAGAGAGGTGCAGGTAAATCCTAAATTTGTAATAGCAGATTTGAGATAATTTTTGGAAGAACATTTAACAAAGAGGTGTATATATTACATGAACAACACCAGTGGCATGCCTTATGCTTGCACTTCATGCAAGAATGCCAAAAAATGCAAAATGACAAGAAATCACAAGGAAGTTAAGGAACCTATAGAGAATGATTCAACTAAGGCAGCTTTTAAAGTAAATACACAATTTTAGTGACAATGAATGGTTATATAAGAGTTACTGGTCTTGGAAAATTATGGTAAGTGCAATGCAATACAGTACTGTAGTTAAACAGAAAATATGGGGCATAATAGAGTACAATGCCAGCCAGAAAAACAAAACAAAACAGTAATTTACCATAAGTAGAAGGTTCACCGGGTCAACTGCTTAAAGAAGCATGGTAACAGACACAAGAAGATAGTCCTGATGCTCGAGTCATCAAGTTTTGTTAGGTTTATAGTCATCAGTTTTTGCATGTTTTTACCCCACAGTCTTTCATTTCTTTATAAACTACTGAACTATTGTACCATTTTTTTGGTAAATTTGTATAAGTGCACCCAACTCTGTTAGAAAGTAAAAAATATGTTTTTCTAGTATATTTATGTGTGTTTAGATCGGTCATGACCTTCATTTCCACTGGAAATTGGGCGGGTTTTTTTATAGATTTTTTTTTGGTGGGGCGTTTTCCGAATAAAATTATGGCTAAGCGAATACAAAATACAGTAATACCCCGCTTAACGCGGTTTCGCTTAACGCGATTTCGCATATATGCGGTGCCTCGCCAAAACCAAACTTTCACTTAACGGGGTTCATCTACCCATATACGCGCAGAGTGTCCGGCTCGAGACGCTATTTTTAGATTCGCCCCACCCGCCACCCGCTGCTCCCGCCTGACTCGCGCCTCCTCCTCCCTCCGCCTGGGCAAGCCGCGCTGTAAGGTTGCGCAGTGTGTGTCTTTGTTGCGTTTTCACTGATGTCATATGACATATCGGACTGTGGTTGGCCATGCATCCCTACCCCCCTCTGCTGCTAGCTGTAATTGGTTTAAAGTGATATGACGTGTCCACCCGGGGAGGGAGGGAGGGAGGAAAGAGGACGCTGCCGCAGTAGTTTCATCCCTCCAGGCCACCCCGTGTATACGTGCATCCATTGTTCTGTGAAATGGCTTCCGCCGGACCACCACCGCCACCAGAGAGAAACCTTTCCTTACCTGGACCCAGCCGCCCTAAGCTCAAGAAGACACGCCGTGGCCTGAGCTACGAAGTGAAATACCAGATCATTCAAGATTTGGAGAAAGGAACATGTCAAGTTGATCTCGCTCGCCGGCATGGCGTCAACGAATCTAAGATTCGCACTATTAAGAAGGATTCAGCCAAGATTAAAGAACACATGAAAATCACAAAGTCTGCAGGTGCTTCAATGATCAAGTATTGCCAGAACAGGGTGCTGGTAAAGGTGGAAAATTTGCTGGTGAATTATTTGATTCGTCAGGCGCGACGCAACATGGCGGTGGACACACGCTCAGTGCAGGAGTACACACGTGAACTGTACGCAGCAGTGTCACGTAAGCTGGGAATTGCAGAGCCCAAACCCTTCAATGCTTCCTCTGGTTGGCTGCATAGGTTTAAGAAGAGGAACAAGATCACCAACATCAACATTGGTGGTGAGGAAGCGAGTGCTGACCGTGTGGCGGCTAGAGATTTTCCTCCGTTCTTACGTGAGGTTATGGAGGAAGGACAGTACACTGACGACCAGGTGTTTAACATGGACGAATCTGGTCTTTTCTGGAAAAAGCTACCTTCCAAGACCTTCGTTGTCCAGTCTGCCAGCAAGGTAACGGGTCGGAAGTTGCAGAAGGAATGCATCACCGTCCTCTTTACCACCAATGCCTCTGGTACCTGTAAACCAAAGTTATCGGTGATTCACACGGCCCGCAAGCCGCACGCCTACAAGAATATGGACATGAACAAGCTTAATGTCCACTGGCTAACCGCACGTAAGGCGTGGATGTCCTCTTCTCTGTCCCTCTTCTGGTTTGACGACTGTTTTGTTCCCGACGTGAAGAAATTCTGTGAGCAACAGAATGTTCCATTCAACATTTTGTTGCTCCTTGACAACGCACCTGGACACTCGGCCCTACTTATGGATCGTCACCCCAACGTAAAAGTGGTCTTCCTTCCTCCCAACACTACGTCATTAATCCAGCCCATGGACCATGAGTTGATCTGCAATGTGAAAGCTGCATACTCTGCAAAGAAGTTCAAGCTCCTGAACGACTCTACCAACACCAAGGATGAGTTGCGTAAGCTGGATGACACCGACAGCGAGAGTAAAAGCGACGAGGACAAGGAACAAGAGGTGGCGACTCAAGAAGTTTTCGTCAAACAGTTTTGGGAGAAGTTTAACGTCAAACAAGCTGTAGACTTCTTGGTGGAGGCATGGGGTCAGCTGTCTATTGCTACGATTCGTCACGCATGGAGACATGTGTTGCATGGCATACCAGCTGAGAGGAGTCAACCTGTGACTGGTGAGGTTCAGACTGTTGCAGTAGCAGTGGACCTTGCCAGAGAAGCTGCGCACAATATTACAGCTGAAGGCTTCTCCGAGACCACCAACGAAGACATCCTGGAGGTGATCAGAGATCCTGAAGTGACTGCCGACGAGATGTTGGAAGATGAGCACGTCAGTGAAGAGGAAGAAGGTGCGTCATTCTCCGAAGAACACAAGTTAAGTCATAGTGATATTAAGGGTGCCATGGAGTTTGCAGAAAAAATGAAGTCCTTCCTTTCCCGCGACAATGACGATGACCGCTATGAAGTCTTCCATACCCGGCTGGTGCAGGCTATGGAGCCGTACATCACGGTGTATCAAGACAACATTAACACTAGCCATCACAAAAGCATTACTGAGTTCTTCGCCCGCAACCCACCACAGCCAGCCCAAGCCAGTGATAGTGACAGTGAAGGTGAAGGTGACTTTGAGGGATTTGTCAGGGAGGCCCTGACAACTATAACGGATAGTGATGGTGATTCACCTGGTGATTCACCTGAGGGCCAGTAATCTGCCCTCTGCCTGGAACCAGCCTCCATCCCCGTATGCTGACCCATCTCTTCTACTAACGTAAGTGTTCAACATAACTTTTAGTTTTCCTAACCTAACCTTTATTTTTCCTAACCTAACCTCTTCTATATACTTGTTTGTGCATACCATCATAAAGTTAAGATAAAATTTTTACTACAACATAGTTGTGTGTCGTCAAAAAGTGGAGTTTGGGGGTTGGGCCAGTCTCTATTGGAATTAATCCCATATGTTCTGTTGTTCACTTAACGCGGTTTTCACTTAACACGGTACCCTGTGGGTTCAATTGACCGCGTTAAGCGGGGTACGACTGTACACAAAAAACACTAGAAATATATAAACCTGACCTGACCAAACCTAACCTAACTGACTCTCACCATATGATGGAATCACTTATTTCTTACCTTATTGGCCTGGTTCTCGTTCATTCGTTGGAGTTACCACAATGCCACAAATGTTGGTCTTGACGATATTTACATTCGTTCTTGCATTTAGGACACTTTACTGAGGTCGGGAGAACACCATAAGATAAAAAAAATGCTTTAGTTTCTTCGTTTTTTTCCCAAAAACTCTCAATCAACTCCATATAATTGACGTGATACCCATCACAGACTTCCATGGTCGGAAAAGAGTTTGAATTTCAAAATAGGAGAGACCCCAAAATAAAAATCGAATTTGATTGGGCCAAAAATACAGTGAATTAAACCACAAATCATTTTAATTGGCTGAAAAAAAAGCTTTTGATTGGCCGCGTGACGTGTACGGGAACGCACGCACGTGATGATTTATGAAGGAGACACACAGTGTGGGAGGTGAGGTAGGCGATAATGGCAGATTAATGAAAGAAAATAGAGAAAATTTTGGACACGCTATCTCCGTTATTATACATTTGCGATGGTAATGTAATAGAAGAAAATTATCTTGTAATTAGACGTCTTATTCAAATATGATAATAGATTAGTGGTAGAAATGTCAGGTGCGGAAATACAATAATACCGCTTTTTCACCAACACCACATTTTTATATTATATATCATCACACGCCATGCACACTTAGAGCAGTATGGCAGTGTTATTTTCTGTTTGACAATAGGTTCTTTATATGTAGCATTTAATTCTTAATAAATTTTCTTCTATGGTATTTCTTGCATAAGTTAATATTAATTAAGATATAAACAGTTTTTTAATTGATTAAAATCAACATTGTTAGGCGAGAAAAGTCATTTGGAAAAAGTCGACCAAAGAAACACCAAAAAAATAGATTTTTCTAGTGTTCACTAGACTTTTCTAACCCAACTTAACCCTTAGGCCCTGGGTGACGTTCCAGAACGTCTGCCTATTCCTGCCATTTTTCTTAAAGGTTAATTTTTTTGTCGATTTATCCCCGCATCGAGTGTACTACCATCAATCTTAAAACTACTTTCAATATATCTTCATTAATATTAATTTGCACAAGAAATGCCATAAAATTAAATTTATTCAGAATTAAATTCTACATAAAAAGAACATATTGTTATCCAGCAGTCCAGGTCATGTAGTAAAACAAATATTAACCTCAGGCTTGGCTTCTTTAGGTTCCTTTGTTTTTTTCTTTTGTCATGTTGGGTCAGGTCCTTCTGGTTGGGTTAAGCTAGACATATAATGTACAGTATATACCGTACAGTATATACCATACAGTAT